CCCCAAAACCCCAAAACCCCAAAACCCCAAAACCCCAATTTTATAATAAATTATTGAAAATGATCTTACTTTTTCTATTCATCTTGACACCCTTGTTCTCTTGTAGAATTTATACCGAGTATTTTCAATGGACTTCATTCCCAGAAATAGTTAATGTTGAACGCTCAACTCCTCTCAATCCTGACTCAATCTACGTTGAATGGAAAGAAGGAACAAATACTGGTTTTCATTTTCAAACGAAAATTAATTATTGAAAGCTTGACATCACTACTTTGAGTTCCAGGCAGCTTCTATATCCCATGATTATAGACCCTGAAACAATGGAAGAGGAGGTTCTTGAAGACAGCCACTGGACAGGCTGCACAGATGTCCCTGTCGGTCGACAGAGACATTATGTCCTTTCTGGGCTAGATTCTAGAAGTACTTATAGAGTCAGGGTCATGCATTCCTCTGATTTTGGAGATACAGACTGGTCTCCTTACAAAATCTATCTCACTGCTATTGAGGAGACCAAAGAGGTCTACAAAAGAGCAGAGATCTTTGCAAAAGGAACATCAGCTGTTAATCACGGAGAATCTGTTATCATGGTTGACGGTAATATAATATTACAAAAAGCAAACTACAGAGGCCTCTACCTAGTTGTTCTAGATCGTAAAACTTTAGCAAAGACGGATTCAGCTATTGGTGTCAGTTCAATTACTGAGAAATTAGGAGCTCTTGATGGCGAATCGATTATTGTAATTGTCTCAAATAACGTCTGGGAGGACGATTTTTCCATTGAATTAGGCAACCAACTTCAGAAATTTGGAGGATTTTACATCAAAGAGTTCCAGTATCAATATAGTAGAAGATTTAGTGAACACACAAGGTCTAGACACCTTAAGTTTGAAGATATTTCAGAGCAAAATAATTATTTCCATCCCTTTGCTTTTATAGGAATTAAAGGAATTCCTCCAGGAATGGCATATGAGAGTATAAGGAGTAATCAAGGCTATTTCTTGGAGGAATCAGCACAACCCCAAGCAGAGCTTAATGTCTTCCTTGAGTACAACATAATGACACATCGTTATGTGTTTGACCAAATTCAAGTAGAAAGCGAAATGAGAATGAATGAGGATTACAAAGTGATCCATAAGAATAAGAATCGTTCCCTAATGAATATAATTCAGTACCTTGCTTCTGTGAATCTAACAGTTGCAGTTGATGCTCTCGAGTCTGGTTTTCAAAGTACTTACTATGATAAGTCTATTCTTGTAAATTCAGAAATTCCTCAGAGACTTTATGAAAACAACTCAGTTGTTGTAGCAGGAGTCGATTTGAAGACTAAGCCATATTACACTTATTTACAGAACTTTGTGCACAACGATGGGAGATGTGAAGCTCCTTACACTGATTACACAAATTCCTTCTGATATGATCTCTCTACTCTTGGATCTGACATCCCTGATATTTTCAAGTGAAAAATTGGTTTGATGCCTTATAATTGTCCGGCAATGGCCGATATTGAGAATTCATTCTCAGGATATTTCTAATTCAACCTTGATGGTCCTAAAAGGGGTTTTGGGGTTTTGGGGTTTTGGGG